GTGTGTGTGTGTGTGTGTGTGTGTGTGCGTGTGCGTGAGGTCGTGTGTGTATAATAATTACGTGGTGTATTGTTGTATTTCTACGATGCACAATTACGCCCATGAAACATGACATCATGTTTCAACGCTCCGATGCATTGTAATGGATAGACTGCCTGCAAACGTTCTTGTGGTCGTACTCAACCCGAACGCAATCGCCAACGTGGATTCCAGCAGTGAGTTATGGAGTCAGTCTAATGAGAAGAGTGAAATCATTCACACGCACTCTACATTCTGCAGTAAAGTTTAATCAGACAAAAAATGTATTAGTATTGAAATGACTTCCACTGGGATGGGCGTCTTCAATCCATCTAGGTGCTACTCAGAACATAACCTCGTAAATATTAGTCTTCAAAGTCCAAGAGACTATATATCGAAGACGGGACAGCTGTCTCTATCTGAGTAATACCCTAAACGGACTCATTTCTCCCCATGTAGCCATATAGCGTACTGACATAGGCGTACACCACCTGGCATTTCGGTGCCCTGTGTTTACACGCTCCTGCTTCAGACCTTTCCAGCCTGTCGTTTATTTCATTTGGGTCTTAGATGGATGTAGAAATGTTTGGTGGCAAGCCTGTGTGTACCTGCGTACTGGGTTACCCCATGCGTGTAGGGGTGGGCTATATATATATTATATATATATATATATAATATATATATATATATAATATATATATATATATACGCTTGCCCGTTCGCTCGGATGCAGAAAGCTGATGCAGAAAGCTGTGCAGAAAGCTTCTGATGGTCGGGCAGCTAGAGCTGTTTACTCCACTCCTAGTTTTCTGTCTGGTTATTTTGGCATCTTGCCAGCGGCGACACATGCGTCAATATCGGCAGAGCTTTGTAAACACTCGTTAAGAAAAATGCCAAATTAAATGCAAAGACAAGCAGACGCCAAATACCTGGGATTTGTTTTGCAGCTTGCTGTAGAGGTTTCCCCTGGCTCTGTTACAGATAGATCTATGTAAATCTATATTGTAACCTCCGCCCGACGGAGTTGGAGGAGGTTATGCATGTGATCGCTCTCGTGTGTTCGTGTTAGTGTTAGTGTAGTGTTAGTGTTAGTGTAGTGTTAGTGTGTGCGTGTGTTCGCGCGATTGATATTACCAAGATATTACTATTAGCGCGTCGAGTCAGCGAGCCAGCCAGCCGGAAAGTAAAAGAGCGGCAAAACCCTCTGTTGGGAGGGCAGAGTGCAGAGGGAGTGGATGGGTGGAGAAGGCAAGAAGATGGGTGTATAGATAGCCAGGGGAGGATGGGGATTGGAGAGAGAGATATGTTGGTTGGAGGGAAAAGGAAGCAATGACCGAAGATAATCTGCAATAGCTAGTCTTCAAGGTACTTATAATCAGCAGTAACTGTCCGAAGCATGGATGGTATATAATAACAGCGTTTTGCTTGCCTGTTTGCACGCTTCTCCAACTCCCTAGTTGATCTCTGCTGCTGCTGCTGCTGCTGCTGCTGATGATGATGATGATGATGAGGAGGAGGAGGAGGAGGAGGAGGAGAAGGATGATGATGATGATGATGATGATGATGATGATGATGATGATAATTCTACTGCTCCTAGTGGTTATGGTGGTGGTGGTGTTGGTGGTGGTGGTGCTGCTGCTCCTGCTGCTGGTGGTTGTGGTGGTGATGCCGCTGGTGGTGGCGGCGGCGGTGGCGATGCTGCTGCTGCTGCTGCCGCTAAAATCAATCGCGTGATGAATGTTTTGAATGCGTCATATATATCATAATAGTGAAGCGCGAGTATACTCACTGGTAGCGAGTATCCCATGTTTATTTGGTGTACCTAGAAGAGAGTATCACCCGATAGGTGATTAACTGGCATCGGCTTTTCGTTGTCGGTTTGCCGCTGTGATAAGGAGCCGTATGACTTTGCGGTATAGAGACATTCCTGGTAAGGTCAGTGCTTTCCGAATTACGCCGGTGTGTGTAGGTTCACCCCACTCGCTACATGTTCAGCTGCTTCTTCCTGTGTTTGTCGGCTTCTCTCTGGGAAATAGTTCCAAGCCCAGCCACTGAAGGTTTGGAGGTAGTAGTATATAAGTAAGTGGATTGAGATTACGGTTTAATGTCACTAGCTAGTA